TTTAGTATCCAAGATAAGAGTTGTTACAAAAACACTTGAATTCTCTCTTTTGTTCTGTCTCTCCAACTCAGTCAATACATATACTGTGTATGACGACTACACATATTCCTCTAGTGGCGTTCATCTGGATGCAGGTGGCAGGCTTACCAAGCACATCGACTCATCCACCCAAGTACTAACAGTGCTACCGTGTGAAGAGTGACACTTGCCCAAAAGTCCATGCCTACACTATCGATAATAGATGCGGTGAGAATGAGGACATCACCCAGGCAATGTGGCTGATGGTCCCCATCGGACAACCTCATAGCCACCCCAAGTCCATTGCCTTTAGGCGCCCCCAACTATAGCTGGGGTCACGTGACCCGGCTGTGGCCAAGACGATCTAAAGCAAAGTCTGCCTGTTGCAGTCGTCCCTTGATACCCACAGGGCACTGCTTCCCAGACCCCCGCGGGTACGCAAATCTGCCAGTGCACAGATGTCAAATGGTGTGCTGCTTGCGTATAACCTACACACAGACTTTGGTGCAGTTCAAATCATCTCTGGATGACTTATAACATCTAGTACAAAGCGAATGCTATGAAAATAGTTGTTATCCTGTATTGTTTAGGGAATCACAATGAGAAGTGTCCATGTTCAGTACAGTGCAGTTTTTTTTTCCTGAATGTCTTGGGGCCACGGTTAGTTGACTCCAAGGATGTGGAGGTGGCAGATACAGAGGGCGGGCTCTGCTGTCCTTTTGGAAGAGACAAGTGTGGCCAGCACTGCCCCTTCCCCGCTTACTCCTGACACCCAGGCAGATGAAACGTCTGCAGATGGGTGGGCATATCGCAACCATGTGGATAAAGCCAACCGGCTAAGGATGCCTGGTCCCTGGGGGCACTGCCGAAAAGTCAATCATTTGCCTCAGAGACCTTATTAGTGAAAAAGACAAGCTGCTATTTGTTGAAAACCCAGTAGTGAGATTTTTCATTCCTTCCAATGCTGAAGGTCTCAGGCTGCCATGCATCCTTCCTTAGGGTGCTGCTTGAGGATTTGCTCTAGTAGAACAAAGGCGAAAATCGAGAGGGGAGAAGAAGTGGGGTCTAGACGCAGGGATGGGTCCCGGGGAGTTACAAAGGGGAGCCAGCTGATGCTGGGGAGCAGGACACAGGCGCCATCGGCTGAGTAAGGTGGGAGGAGGCGGGAGAGCTCGGAAGACCCAAGGCGAGAAGCCGTCTTCTGCACTCTGCTGCTCGCTTTGCGAATCCATCAGTGGAGGACGTGGGAACGATGCATAATTCAAGAAGAAAAGAGGAAACGTCCAGGAAAAGCCAACAAGCAAAAACAGTTATAAAAACGGAAATAACAGTGCTCTATCTAGCCACTGAGCGAGGACTATTTACACGGCCATCATCAGGTAACCAGGTTTAATGCTTGTCATCCTACAGAATCAATCTACACTCAAGCTCCGAGGAGGTAATCGTGGTCAGAGAATGAAAGACAACCGCAAAACGTACAGACAACAGAAGCTGTAAAAGAAAAAAAGGGAGAAGAAAGTACAAGGAAGCGACAGCCTTAAAAATGAAAGAGATTAGCTACTACTGAGGACACTAAAAACGAAAGCGGAAGGATAGTACTTAAAACTGCAAAGGTAACAAAGTTTAGAGAAACCTAAGAGAGTGAGTAAGAGGGAAAGCAGGGTGTCCTGAGCGACACTGCCTCTTCGATCTAGAATTTTCTTTTACAATTCACAACTGAAAACCACAACCTCGAATTTAAACTATCATGTAATATGCTTCTTCGCTAACAGACTCCCACATCATTCCTCCTTTCCTTAAACCGGACTTATTAACAGCAGCTCTGTGCTAAGAGAAAGCCCACAGAGAAGCCAACATCGATGAATCAAGAAGCGTCGTATCAGCACGTCCTCTGCAGAGAAGGAGCCGCCCTCTAGAGGAACTGGAAACGGAAACAGGGATTCTCAGCAGAGAAGGTGTGGGGCTGTCCACTCTTTTATTTATCATAAACCTTCTGTACGATTTGACTGTTCAAACCATGGCATATACTAATTTGGTAAAAATAAAAATACTTATTTATAAAAGAAGATTGAAACCAGAGAGACTTAAATTTTATTCTTAATTTTTAAATTACAAAGAAATATGACACAATGAAAAACATAAGGACGACTGAGTGACACGTAAGCCGTTTTCTGGCTCTGATGGTCGGAAGTGTGTTCAGCACTGCCTCTGTGCTTGGAGGAAGTCGTCCTCTGCTCTACCTACGGCGCTCCTCAGAGAGAAGCACACAATAAGGAAACCTCCTGGCGCCAGGACAAGCACTGTGCCGCCAAGAGCATGAAAGCTGATCATCACCTCTTAAAATTTACGTCACTCATATCTGTGTTAGCGTTTATTATTTGGAGGCTTTCTGGTCCCAATAACCATTTCCTTGCATTATATTTAATCGATTCTTTATTTTTTAAACACTGGAACAGATCATTCGCCTGTCAATTTCTTTCTGCTCGTGTCATACAATAAAAATGATTAAAACGTATTGTAAATTTACAAAGAATTTGGCTAGCTGTAAAGAGGCAATGAATATTTGAAAAGAAAAACTCTGAAAGGCTACACAGGACTCCTGTTTCTGTAGCAGATAGTAACACGGCTAAAATGAACATTAAGATATTAGCTAGGAGCTAATTTTATCATTTTAATTTCCACTGTTTACGTAAGAAACCAAGTGAACAATAGCCAATAATAGTAAGTGTAATAAAAACACACAAGACTGACTTATATTGTAATTAAAGAAAAGGAAGATGAAAATCAGAGCTAATTAAAGACATATGGCCCCACATTGCCTTGCCATCTATTCGCCATCTCAGTTAACATGTTTTTTCATCTGGTCTCTTTCATGAGGAATGAGTCAATCAAACATTTTTTTCTTTCCTAAAAAAGATGCATGGGATTTTTTTCTGTTACACTTAATGAAATGAACAGTGTCTTAGGCTGATTAATCCCTGGCAACATACAAGGAGCACACAGCACTGCCGGAACACATGCTGAAAGTGCTGGAAAGCAAACATCTGATATTATGCATGAGCTGGAGGCGCGGGCCTTCTGCGGAAAGGGGAGCGGGTCCATATTTAACATGTTTTAATTAACTAAGGCTGATGTATTGGTCTTTCTCTTAACCACTCTACAGCCCATAAATCTGGTGCAGAACTCAGGCAGGATTCTTTGGCATTTTTATTTACATATTATAAATGTAAAAACCCGCCTTTTTCTGCAATATTTATTACTTGATGCGAGGAAAAGTAAATTACCTCTCAATGCGTTCAGTTTTTTAATGCTCATTAGATAACCTATCCCATGGGTAAGCCAAGATGAAATGCCTAAAAGCAAGGGAAACATCTGATGATACAAACCTCGATCTTTCTTCCCCCTCTCTTATTATGCAACACAAAACAAACACACTTGTTGCATGCGGATCCATTTTCACGGATCAAGCACATTAATCAGTCACTCTTTTGCAGTGTTCCACATAAAGACTTAATATGAAATATTAAACTGTAGACATGCTAATGTTAAAGTCTACCTAACAGAATTTCAAATTTTGTTGCTGACTGTTTCAGCATTTTTCTGATGAAATGTGAAAAGCATAACAATACATCAAAATTGAATATACCCAAAAAGGCTCAAGGAAACATACTCAAGACCATTTCTGTTCCGAAATGGAGAATTTCCTACACCGCAACCAGTCAGAACTCATAACCCCCTTGAGGCTGCAGAATATTTCATTTCGACACTCTTGCGCAGGCCACAAGATGGAGGCCTCTTAATTGAAACTGCCTCTTTAATTTGTCCTCAGAATCCACTGTTTAATTCAAACATCAAATATTAATTAAAACAACCAAGCAGAATGTCTCTTGATTATCAGGGCAGTGCACAGGCTCTCCGCTTCCTTAAGTGGGCACGACCATCGGCAGCTGCTTTCAATCATTTTAGCTTAGTGGTTGCTGGGGATTTTTTAAACACACAATAGAAAAAGAAACTGGGGCAGTAACAAAGGTGGTGGTGGAGCTGAAGACTGTGGGTCCATTTCTCCTAAAATAAATGTGTCTGCTTTATTTTCACATTTATCTTGGAGGCAGTGACTGTTGAGGCACAAATCGACCCTATTAATGCTATCAATTAATATTTGGATTAAAAATGACATGGAGTAAAACAAGATGTAAAAATAAGCCCGTAAATGTGAACCGGGCCAGGCGCAGTGGCTCAAGCCTGTAATCCCAGAACTTTGTAGCTGAGGTGCATGCACTGCGTGAGCCCAGGAGTTTGAGACCAGCCTGAGAAACATGGCGAAACCCCACCTCTACAAAAACTACAAAAATTAGCTTCGCGTGGTTGGCATGGCGTGCACCTGTAGTCTCAGCTACTTGGGAGGCTGAGAAGGGGAGATCGCTTGAGCCCAGGTGACAGACGTTGCAGTGACCTGAGATGGCACCACAGCACTCCAGCCTGGGCAACAGAACAAGATGATGGTGGTTTTTTTTTTGAGACAGAGTCTCACTCTGTCTCCAGGCTGGAGTGCAGTAGCAGAATCTCGTCTTACTGCAACCTCTGCCTCCCGGGTTCAAGTGATTCTTCTGCCTCAGCCTTCCTAGTAGCTACCACTACAGGTGTGCGCCACGACGCCCAGTTAATTTTTATATTTTTAGTAGAGTCGGGGCTTCACCATGTTGGCCGGGATGGTCTCAATCTCTTGACCTTGTGATCTGCCTGGCTCGGCCTCCCACAGTGCTGAGATTACAGGCGTGAGCCACCGCGCCCGGCCAAGATTATGTTTCAAAAATAAAAGTGTGCTCAGTGCCTCCCTAGCTCTATACCATCGAATATGCCATCTTGCCCTCAGCATTCTGAGCCCTGCTCCGTTCAGAGAATGTGCAACACCTCCCAACCTCCCCACTCCCACAGAAAACAAAACAAACCCAGCCCCGCTCTGCCGGCACCAGAGTGCTCACCTCCAGCTCCTGCTCCCGCTGTAGGGCGAACTGCTTGAAGGACTTGACGATCAAGCCAGCGTTGGAGCAGTCGTACACGAAGATTGACGGGCTGCCCATCCATGTCTGCAGGTCATATATGGACAGAGGGATATACTGCGTGTAGTTCTGGAAAACACACAAAGTGCGCGTGTTACATGTGCATCCCAGGAATGCGGGCTGCGGATGAGTACTGCGCGTTACACACACACTGAGCCCGGCTGCTGGAGAGACGCTGAGTTATCCTCTACACAAGACTATAAAAAACAGCAAACTGGCCAGGCACGGTGGCTCATGCAACCTATACTGCAACCAGTCAGAACTCATGACCCCCTTGAGACTGCAGAATATTTCATTCTGACACTCTTGTCCAGACTCTGGGTGGCTGAGGTGGGGGGATTGCCTGAGGTTAGGAGTTCGAGACCAGCCTGGCCAACATGGTGAAGCCCTGGCTCTACTAAAAACACAAAACTAGCTGAACGTAGTGAATGGTGCCTGTAAAACCAGCCACTTGGGAGGCTGAGGCAGGAGAAGCGCTTGAACCCAGGAGGCGGAGCTTGCAGTGAGCCAAGTTCACGTCACTGCACTCCAGGCGGGGCGACAGAGCAAGACTCAGTCTCAAAACAAAAACAACAACAAAAACAGAAACAGCAAACTGAACTCTCCACATCTCCTCAGATGCTGCTTTACTCCAGCAGCGCCCACACCACGTGGCTGCCAAAGTCATCCGTGGCTCCAGGCTCCTCTGCAGCTGCTGCCTGGTTCAGCCACTGGCTGACTCCTTAGCCACCGCAGGACTTCCCTCCACGTATCCCACAGCTATTCACACCGCATCTCCATTCATCCTTCTACTGTCACGTCTCTGCGCTTACACAACATAACACGCACCTCATTTACAAGGGAGGGGAGCAATGGAGAGTTGGCCAGCTCCTCCAGCTTGCATGCCACTGTCCCTTTAATTTCAGAGACGCCCGTAAGCACTCTGTCATGGAGATGACTTTCGAAAAGTACTTAGGGCACAAGTGGGTTTGGCTGTGTGAACGCACTTCAATCACAGAACAGTAACCTACTAACACTAATGTGCTGGGTAGAATACTTTTCCGAACACACTGTTCTGTTCAGCACCTGAACATTCTAGGATTCTGGTAAATGCAGAGAAGAGTGTTCTCATCTCACTTGAAAAACACAATCCGCACTCAAAGCTCACATTTTTAAGGAAATCTTCTCCACAGAACACCTTCATTATCTAACTTTCCTTGGACATCAATAGTGTAAGTGGTGAAGCTGTGGCAGAAATCAAATTCCCAGAAATTGACAGAAATCAAACTCACAGTAAAAGTGAGTTTGTTTCTTAGCAGCTGAGCCACACACACACTGCCGCTGGTACTGCCTACAGGGTTGTTTATAACTCAACAGGAAAAAGGACACAGGGCCAGAAGACCAAGCAAAGCCTGGGGAAATCTGGCATGCAGGCAGCCCGCAGAAGCTTTGGCCGTGCACAGCAAAGAAGCAGAGGTAAGCTACATCTCAGCCGTGATGACACAGTGAGCCAACAGCGCAGGTGTGTTCGGGGTGTGTGGAGACACGGCCGTCATGGGCGGGACCCCACCCACCTGTGCTCTGCCGTTCTTATGCTGTTGAACTGTCCGCGTTTGGTGGACTGTTGATAATCACTGCGCTATGTAACAGAACACCTGGAAATTCTCTCTGTAAATAAACCCACTGAAGAATTCTAGAGATGTCAAGTCTCGCCTAATGAATCCCGAAAGTCAGTGTGAGCCTAATCAAAATACCTTCTGGGTTTTTCCATTAATGGAATCTGACAAGATGATTATAAAGTTAGTACAGAAAAAAAAAGCACAAGAGTTAAAAAAAATAATAAAGAATAATGAATAGGAACTCACACTGCCAGATACTAAAGATACTATAAATCCATGGTAATTACAGGATGGTATTACTGAGGGAGACAAACAAATCAACAGAAAGGAGAGAGCCCAGAAATAGACCCACATACGTAACTCTAATGAGGACAGCATTTTAAATCTGCAAAGAAGGAATTAGCAATTCAATAAGTGATGGTGGAAACTCTAACCAACCATTGATATTGCCATCTGAGATCACACACACACACACACACACACACACACACACACACACAGAGTGGACTGAAAACCTAAATGTAAAAGCACAAAAACATTTCATTTATTTTGGCATATGAAAGGCCTTAATTAAGCAAGTCAACAAAACCTAGTAAGTCTTAAGGCCGACTGATACAGTAAGATAAAAAATATGTAATTCTGATAAAGACACATACCAATGACTAGCCATTTTAGAAGAAAGGAGGTACACAGTACATGACAGAGAATTTTTTAGACGTGTATATATAAACTGCTGCTGCAGATCGACAAGGGGCAAAACGACAACAAACAGGCAAAAGATACAAACAGCAATTCACAGAAGAAACATGAATCATCAATCATCATGAGTTTCATGCTTTTGATTAGAAATGCAAATTACAATGAGAATCAAGCTACCTACCTATTGATCCATCCATCCATCCATCCATCTATCCATCCACCCAGCCATTCATCCATCCATTCTGTTTTCATCCAGCAAACTGGAAAGCAAGATAAAATGTGAATAATACCCCACTGTTGAAGGACACAGGGCACTTATTCATCAATGGTGAGAATGTAAATTAATGAAGCTTTTATGGAAGGCAATTGAGAAGTGCTTATAAAAAATTTAAATGCACATTCCTTCTGACTACTTCTAGATGGTCATCCTATAGAAATACTGGCATTTGTACATGACATGTTTTGACTGGCAAAAAGCTGCAAATTATCTAAATGCAGTGTGGTAGAGACTGCTAGTCTACTCGAGATTAGAGAGAGAATATGATTCTCTCTTCTAAAACACTTGTAGCTGAGCACACTGCCCAGTTTCCTTTCCAGTGAAGTCTGTCCTGCAGTCAAATTCTGGCCAGCATGACATGGCCAGAAGTGCAATGTCCACGTTCTCAGAGCATGACGTGGTCAGAGGTGCTATGTCCACATTCTCAAAGCGTGACGTGGTCAGGGGTGCAGTGTCCACATTCTCAGTGCATGATGTGGTCAGAGGTGCAGTGTCCACGTTCTCGGTGCGTGGCATGGTCAGAGGTGCGGTGTCCACGTTCTCAGTGCATGATGTGGTCAGAGGTGCAGTGTCCATGTTCTCGGTGCATGACGTGGTCAGAGGTGCTGTGTCCACATTCTCAAAGCGTGACGTGGTCAGGGGTGCAGTGTCCACATTCTCAGTGCATGATGTGGTCAGAGGTGCAGTGTCCACGTTCTCGGTGTGTGATGTGGTCAGCGGTGCAGTGTCCACGTTCTCGGTGTGTGATGTGGTCAGCGGTGCAGTGTCCACGTTCTCAGTGTGTGACATGGTCAGAATTAATGGTCAAGTGCAGCATCTGCTGTGGCACCTTCGCTGTATTCACACAATTATGTGTGAATTCTCAGTGTGTGGCATGGTCAGAGGTGCAGTGTCCACATTCTCAGTGCATGATGTGGTCACATAATTGTGTGAATACAGTGAAGGTGCCACGGGATGCTGCACTTGACCACACTTTCTCCTGGAGCCAGAGCTTGCAGGCTGCGCTCACAGGTCTCCAGAGGTGGGGGAAGCGTGCTCCTCTCCTTCTCCACCCACTTCCCTGCTGCTGCCAGGGGAAAGAAGGGCCCAAAGAAGCCCTTTAATTGGGCAGGGTTACCCCCACACTGACAGGAGAAAGGATGTTGGCAGCAGCCTGGGAAATGGGCTCATCTTTTTCCCCCAAGAACGCTGTGTGCTGTTTATTTACCTCCCATAATGTTCTGGGTGTACAGCATCTGAGTATAGCTTGCCTAGCCCTGACCCTACGGCCACCTCACAACGTCCTCTGCGCCACCATCAGTGAAACGGGGGCTGCTGACATCTTTACTCCCTTCTAGGTACAAGTCCCAAGGGCCCCAGGGCTGCAAAGTGGCATGAAATGAAAGAGATTTTAACACACCGTGTTCTCAGGTCTTGCTTTTTGAGCTGAAATCTATTTTCCACATTTGTCAAAATCAAAATCTCTGTTTTAAATGTCTGAGGTGCGAAGTTCAGAAAGATGATCCATCCTGACCCTGAGGTGCTGCTGCACTGGGACAGCGTCGGCAGTCTCTCCCTCCATGCCCCGTGATCTGCTGGCGGCCAGCGCCGGGCTACAGGCAGGGTCCTCGCGGCCCAGTCCTGCTGGGGCCGGACGTCTTCACCTCCCAGCAGCATCCAGGAGGCAGCAGGGCACAGGGCCATGGATGCGGATGGCTCCAGCTGCTCTCAGCTTAGGGATTTTTGTTCTGAGAGGGGCTTTCATTACGGAACAGTTTTCGCGGCCCACGCCTGCCCTGGGAAGCCTGTTGGATGCGGGCCTCTGCGGTGGCTTCTCCGTGAGTGGCGTCTGTCCCCCTCAGCACCAGGGCCATTGGTGGCCGGACTGCTCCTTGTGGGGCTGTCCAGTGCAAACATAATCTTATTCAGCACTAGCTACCCACTCCCACACCTAGATGTGACAATCACCAGGCTGCTAGACATTGCAAATATCCCCATGTCCCCTAGGGGGGAAAAGTCTCCCTGGCTGAGAACCACTGCCTTGGAGGAGAGGCAATTTCCTTTCAAACATTAGCTATATACATTACAGTTAGTGAGACTGCAACAATTTGGAAGTTTGTATCCCTTAGGGAATATAAAACCAACTCTATTAAGCCACAGTGTGGAAAATGACCTTTGAGAGTGAATCCTGATGAGAACATGGGATGTAGACCTCATTTTCCATCTCAGAGGTCCCGGGTCGTTTGTCAGGCTCCAGGCCGGAATTACGGCCCTACAAACCAGCAAAGGGTAGCCTGCAGCCTCACAGACCCAGCGCTGCAGGGACAGAAACAACGTCCACGCGACAGTCGCTGGCCCGTGGAATATTCCTCTGTCATCCAGCTGCACCAACCCACACCAGCTGAGAACTGAAAAGCCCGCTGGGCACCCTGCAGGCTACCTGGAACGCCCAAGAGCTGGGGCCAATGGTTTTCCTTTCTACTCAACCCAAAACTAAAAGTACAGAGAATTCCTAA